GATTATTTAAAGATATACATTCTATTATCTTTCTTCCTAACTCTAGCCCAACAATGTACCAATTCCAAACAAAGGAAAAAAAGGACATATCCTGTCTTGATGGCAGCCCTGTTGCAATGACCCTGACTTATAATTCTTTCCTGCTATCCAGGCCTCTTAGATGAGGGTGGACCCAGGTCTGAAGGAGTGTCAAAGGCCAAACCAAAAACCCGGAAGCGGTTAGAAGAAAGCCAAGGAGACCCCAAGCCAGAGGCAGTGAGGTCAACCAGTAGTGACAGGTAAGGAGAGGGGGAGGCTCCTGCTTGGGGTCCTGGCCCTGTGAGTCACACACTGTCCAGGAGGCCCTTTCTACAGATTAATGACACCTGGGATGGGCAGGCTTCTGCAGGCCATGAGTGTTGAATGCATAAGCTTGAGAAATCAATTTTGGTCAAATTGATGATGCACCTGTGGAGAGAGTCCTGAGGAGCTAGAGAAAATGGGGGGTGTGGAGAGATGGCCTGGGAAACTGGTGGGGTCAGCAGTCCAGGTCCCAAACCTTGACTGCGAGTAGGAGTTTCAGCTTCTACTTCAGGCCCTGGGCAGGGAGCATTAAAGGCAGAGTGACATCATCTGGATCCCCACCTTATAAAGGCAGGTAAATAATGCCTGGCAAATACCTTCTATATGTCACACACCTGGCCTTTAATCCTCACAGTCACCCTATGAGGTAGCCAGAGCCTGAGCTAAAGATGGGAGTGGCCATTCCTGCACTACCCACCCCTACCCCAACAGTGGCAGTGGGGGGAGACCAAACTATTAGGTGGTCAAATGAGCAAGAAATTGCAAGACAAAATGGGCCCAGGTCTGTAGGTGTTCCCGTGGCTCCTCTTACAGTGGCTTGTCTCTTATAGGATCCCATCGGGTTCCTTGGAAAGTCCTCTGGCTTCTGAAGCCGATCCTGAGAGGCGTTACCACTCGACCAGCTCTGACCAGGACCCTGCGGCAGGCAGAGAGAGCAGCCCAGTCTCGGGCAGCAGCCCCTTTCAGCTCCCAGCTTCCTCAGACGAAGACATTATTGACTTGAAGTAACAAGAGTCTGAATCTCGTTTGCCATTTTTCATTTTCTTATGGAGGTTTATACTCTTTAAACAGTTCCCAAGTCACTTCTCAACAAAATGTGGCTTTTAGCCTGTCATTGATCTCTTGGACCAAACCTTCTGCAACTCGGCCAGTTTAGGTCACTCTCCAATGTCCAGTGCCATCTTCCTTGACCTTTGTTTCTTTCTGTTCAGAAACCATCAGTCCCCTTGTAATAAAGGCGGTAGATTTCACTGAAGTTTTAGATTGAAACTTTGAATAAATCAAAAATGTTCATTCTTAATTTACTGCAACCTCTTATATTTTATATATTTAGATAGAAAATTATTTTTCATTACAGTTTTGATTTGTGTCATGTAAGTGTTTCTTTTATAAAGAAAGAAGGCATTGCTTTTTAACTTCATTATAAATAAGTTTTCTTTCTATACCTTTGGCCCCTGTTGCTGTTTCAGTTCACCATGATTGAAACCAGCTATGTTCCTTCCTGTAGATGCCTGAGAAAAACTGGTTAGATCTCAGAAGCTCCTCTTTCCTCCAGTGTCTCTTGAAAAATAATAAAGTATTGGGTGGTGCCTGTGCCTCAGTGGGTAGGGCGCTGGCCCCATATACTGAGGGTGTTGGGTTCAAACCCCACCCCGGCCAAACTGCAACAAAAAATAGCCACGCGTTGTGGCAGGCACCTGTAGTCCCAGCTACTCGGGAGGCTGAGGCAAGAGAATCGCCTATTTGGAGGTTGCTGTGAGCTATGATGACATAGTGAAAAAAAAAGAAAGAAATAAATAAAAATAATAAGGTATAGGAGCTAAAAAAAAAAAAAGAAAGAAAAATAAGGTATAGGAGCTGTCAAGTCTTAAGATTATTTTACCTGGTTTCATTGTTTCTCTGCAATCACATACTTAGGAACAGTTACTCCTTGTGGTCAAAAGTATTCTCAAACACCTCCTCTTGTGTGGAGGTCTCCTTTGCTCTTTCCTATGAACCAATGGATTATCCATTTTCTCATAACATATCTGCCTTCCCTGGCTCCCTCTTCAAATGAACAGAAAGAAATGTGGATTGGGCCAAGTGCAAAAATAATGGCGTAATGTCAGCCATTAACCAGGGGACATCACAGGGAAGAAATCTAGTTTCACTAACATTGTTAAAAAAAAAAAAAAAATTGTGTCATCATAGCTCACTGCAGCCTTCAACTTCTGGGCTCAAGTGATCCTCCTGCCTTAGCCTTCAGAGTAGCTGGGACTATAGGCATGTACCACTGCACCTGGCTTTTTTTTTTTCGTAGAGACAGGGTCTTGTTCTTGTTCAGGTTGGTCTCCAACTCCTGACCTCAAGTGATCCTCTCACCAGAGCCTCCCAAAGTGTTAGGATTAGAGATATGAGCCACTGTGTCCAGTCATTTGTAAAAATTTTAATCTGGCCAAGCAAGGTGGCTCAGGCCAATAATCCTAGCACTCTGAGAGGCTGAAGCAGGAGGATCACTTGAGATCATGATTTCCAGACCAGCCTGAGCAAGAGACTCCATCTCCACAAAAAGTAAAAAAATGAGCTGGCATCGTGGCACACACCTATAGCCCCAGCTAGTTGGGAGGCTGACATAGGAAGATCACTCAAGCCCAGGAGTCTGAGGTTGTTGTGAGCTAAGATGCCACTGAACTCAGGGTGACAGACTCTGTCTCAACAACAACAACAACAAAAGGCAACTGCATGAACCTGATCGTAAAAGTTTTACTCTGTGTGAAGGTAATTTACCTTTGGCTCTAGCCTAGCTGTTTCCATTTTCTTATATCTCTTCTTGCCTACATCACTATCAAGAGAAACTTTCAATTATTTACCCCCTGTTAAAGCAGCTCTGAAGAGTTTTTCTGCATGTCTTTTTAAGTGCAAAGAACTGTTTCTCGAGACTTTGAAAGAGGATACAGAAATGTGGGTCCTGTCTGCTCGTGGGCCTTGCACATCGTAGGAAGAACTCCTTTCTCCATCTTTTGCATGAACAGTTCAGCATGATAAGCCCACGCTGGAAGCTGCCTGGCTCTTTGACAGAAGGCAAAAGGCAAAAGAGTAGCAAAGACAGTGCTTTTCAGGTGTACCCAAGTGGGGCAGTTTATGACAGTCGTTAGCCTTAGCATCCCCACTCTTCCCTGTTTTGCTGTGCCCTTTTCAAATAGGGGGAAACATTATCAACCCCAAAGTGTACCTCAACCCCACCAACAGTTTTGTGAACTATGTTTTATTGTTCCTGCTTTTTAAATAAGGAAATTGAGTCTCAGAGGGACCAGAGATTTGAACCCTGAGTCCTTGCTTTCTGCCCTGTCCACCTCAGGGAGCCAGTCTGAGTGCCTTGTGGC